GGCAGAAAAGAACATTCCAAACTTAATAGAGTATCTAAGCATAATTACTGATTGAAGGAAAATTATCTTAGTTTTTTCCGAACATTAGCATGAAAACCATGTATTTCTCCCCACAAACTTTATATGCAACTTTAGCCAAATTTATCACAAATATTCACCTCATCCATTTTTACTGTAATCTGCCAAAAGGGAAAGAAAGAAGGAAAAAAAGAAAGATAAATGGATATGCATGTCCATATTAAATATATGGCTAACAAGCTTTAGTTAATGAAGACCACATATATCCAGTAGTTTTGTTATCTTTATATATGAAATTTCCCAATTATGGCATCTTCTACTTGACAAAATCCCTAATTTTCTTAGCAATTCCTGCTCTGAGCTTTCATGGTATCAAGACTGATTCTTGGATCTATAAACTATCTATACAATATAGAGTTTCTCTACTTTTGCCAACATTTCCAGTATTTACTGGACGTAGGCTTGGCATTCACTTTTTTCCTTACACGAAAACTAAAAGCATCACCGCATGAAGCATAACAAGTTCAGCATCAATGCATGGAGCACAAAAATGTCACACTTGCTTCAAGGAGAAAGACAGACAAGAACCGAACTCAACATGAGAAAAATTGGTTGTTACTTGGTCGGCACAAAAGATGAAATCACCAGGAAATTGTTTTCCAAATGCTTCCAATGAATATAACTCTCATGAACATATAACCCTGTGGCCAAAGCACACAAAACCGAGTGATTGTCTGCAAGACAGCAAAAATGAACAAGACTAAGACATTAAGTTAATTGAACATGCTTATATTATTAACATGAAAAAATGGCTCAATAAATTGAATCTATTGGTACTTTTTATTTTTCCAGAGCATCATTTGCATATCCTAATGATCAACGTTGCAAACAAGACTACATGAATATTAGTTCCATATCAAACGATTGTTACTTCGTATGACGCATGATTTGAAGGCAACAAATACTAACCTTTTAATGTAGTACTGCTTCAAGCTGGAGCCAGCGGCAATTCGGAACATGAGGAACAAAAGTTAAGTTCTCACTTTGTGACGTAGGTGGATTAACTCTTCTTTGGTGGCATGGTGACCCGTCGAAAACATTTACAAAGTAGAACTTGTGGGATTGCACTTCTGCACCAAATATGTACTTCCGGTCCTGAGACGTTCTTAATTGTCTAACTTGCCATATTTGGTTGAAATTGATGACTTATTCGATGAGTTATTCTACAGCCTAGGTGAGGTTAATTCCCGTCATCGAAGCATTGATGAGGCGGGTTACGTAGGGAGCTCAAATGACTTCAATGACAAGAATTTAACTCCGCTCGGGCCGTAAAATAACTCATCTATTTCAATCAAAGAAGACAAGTCGACAATTGAGAACGGCCAAAGATGGCAAGTCGACAATTGAGAAGGTCTCGAGGACGAGAAGCTCACCAAGAAATGGGAGTTTAATGCAGAAATGCAACCCACAAATTCGATCATCGTAAATTTCCGCGACGGGTCACCTGGAAATTGTGGAAAGGCTAGAAGAAAATAATCGCTTAAGTTTGTGAGGTATGAATTACTTGTGACCTGTTGTGTATAAAAGGTCTCGAGAATGTTTCTAATGTGGAGGAGTTTTTAGAAGCTAAAATGAGCATGAATACTCATTTAGAAACATATGAATTACAATGAAAACATTTGCATGGAGAAATCAAACATAATTGGAAAGACAATTCGACTAGAAGAAAATAATCGCTTAAGTTTGTGAGGTATGAATTACTT